AAAGAGACGTTTCCCCGCAGGTCGGGTCCCTCTCCCGTGCGTTTCCTCCGCGCAGGGCTGCTGCCGCCCCGGGGCCGCGGTGAGGGGCTGCGGGCCCCGGGGCTGCTCCGCGGAGGTTTCGCCCGGCGGCGCCGCCAACGGGTAGGAGCTCCCAGTAGGAGCGATTCGCTCTTCCCTTCCCCTCGTTGGGCTGAGGTTGCTGTTGTCGTTTTCGGGAGGAAAGTTGGGATGACGAAGGGASAGCCGTTACTTTGAAGGTAGGGTCTGACAACGACCCCCGAAAGAGCAACGTGAGCCTTATGTGATTAAATGTAAGTGCCGGCTAGACCCGGACTCCGAAGTCCTCCCATCCCGTGGGGTTGGCCACTCTTCGTCTCAAGTCATTTGCGAGTCATTGGAAGGGTGTCCTCGGTCAAGCTCTTCCAGGCATCTTGGGATCTCCTCCTCTGCTCCAGCAGGGCCAGCGCACGAGGCAACGAAATAGCCGGTCGGATGGGACAGAAATTAGGGAATTCGTGTGTATATGTATATATATATATATATATATATATATATATATATATAATGTTGTCTTTCCCTGCCTGTACGTTGAGATTCTTTACTGGGTTTAGTATCACCGAACGCCCCTCTTCTGCAAGGCGAGGAGCGTTCACTTGTCAACTCAATGCCATTTTGGATAACGTTAATCTTGATTAATAAGGGTTGGAGGTTTAAGTCATCTTACGGTAATTTAGAGTCTCGAGCCGTCTGATTTCTTTGTTCTTCTTTAAAATGCTTCAATCGTCATATTCCTCTATACTTCCGTAAGAGAGTGTATATATAGAGATATAGAGATAGATCGATATACCATATATAYACTTGTGCGTGCATCTCTTCTAATGCCATTTTTTCCCTCTCAGATATGCAGAATATGGTCAGTGCAGCTGCGCTGAACGTCAACTAGAAGAACTGGTAGCAATTTTGATGGTTTAATTCTGGCATTTGCTGAGTTTCCTATATATTTTAAAATTTGGAGTCACTTCTAAAGGGAAAATAAATGCAGTCTAAACATGAAAAATAAATGCAGGAGCTGGAAAACTTCGAAATTAGGCTGGTAGATTCTGGCTGGATTTAGCTGAAACGAACACGATTTGCCACTCTCCATAACTTCATAATGAAGCTGATTTCACCAAGGGCTTAACTAAACAGAGGGAGTAAAACTGTCGGGGAAAAAAAAAAAAAAAAAAAAAACAAAAAACGAATCGTATCTTTGGATTTTGGGAAATTATTTTTTCCTTCGCAGATACGGGCCGGTTATTATGTTGGAAAACAATATTAAGAATATGAACAACGTGTTCAATTGCACACAGCTTCTCTCCGCGTGTAAGGCAGCGTGGTTCAGAGAGAATTGCACTCGCTGTCGGGTTTTAAAGGGAACATATTCCCTTCAGTGAAATGCGGTGGCACTCTCGGACAACGTGTCATCGGTAACACTGAACATTGGCATTTAAGCACCTGTCGTTTCTTCTTGCACAAACGTAGATATCCTGGATAAAATCGTGCCAGGGCGTCAGGGAAATGGTTGCCCACACGGCGCGATAGAGAGCAGATGAAGCCGAGCAGGCACCAATAACGTATTTCCCCCTTTCCTCTGCCTCTCCGTTCCTCTCGCGCTTTCTGTCTTGACCCCGACCTGCGCGGGGGCCACCGGAGCCGCCTCGGGAGGCGGGGAGGGCTCGGAAACGCGACCCCCGCTCCTGCCTGGGGGCAGCCGGCTGCTGCTTGACTAGTGCAAGGGAAAAGCTGGAGGCGGGGAGCAGAGCCGCTTACAACGCGCGGCCGCGGTTCCGCGGAGGCGCTGGCAGCGGCTCCCTCCCGGCCGGGGAGGCTGGAGGCAGCGCGGGGCCAAGCGCTGCTCGCGCGGGCCCCCTCGGGTGCCCCCTGGCCCCGCTCACCACGTGGGGCCGCCGTCGAGGCCGTCTGCCCCCCATGGATCGGGACCCCCGGTGACTTCCGGCCGGGCCCTCCGGCGTTTTCGGACCGGGCCGAGGTCTCCCGCCCCGTCGAGCCTCTCTCCGAGTCAGGCGGCCCTGCAAGTCCCGAGTGGGGCTTTCTGGGGCGCAGGTGGCGAATCGAGCCGCCCCATCCTCTCTCCACAATTCCCCAAGGCGACCTCGGAACCTTTCGCTGCTTCCTTGGCAAGTGGCAGCTCCCCCCTACTGCATCCCTCGAGCATCCCTCGAGCCGCACCTCGGCCTCCCCTCTGCAGCCGGGTCCTCTTCGCCTCCTCTCTGCCATCCAACCCCCGTTTCTTTCCCTGTCTTCCCCC